CAGACANCAACTAAGTCAACCAATTATCTTATTTCATTTGACCATTCATATTTACCACTTGATGGCTTGCCAACACCATTTTCTCCTGTGTCAAGTTGTTCATTGTCATTTAACTCATTCTCCATTGTTTTTTTTGCCTTTTTTTTCTGCATTCTTTTTCGATGAGATAAACATCATTTCTTCCTTAGTTCTCTTCAATTTTTGCTTCATAATCTGAGTGAAATAATTTTAATTAATAAACAGTTACATAGTAACTTTTTTAAAAACAATTACAAGTTATAGGGATAACTATATATGAATTTGAGACTTACATCATTTGTCATGATATTTGCCAAATATTTTTGCTTGATTGGCTTATTCAGACTTGGTAAGTTCCATTTTAGGAACCGAGGAAATGACCTTTCAATGCTGGTAGTCATCATGGAAGTGTGTTCACACAACCAATACTACAACATACAAGATCACGATAATCAGATCATATTGGGTTATAGCAAAGTAATTTCAATTCTCAAATTAACATAATACTTTTATTAAAATACTAACTGGTATTAGGAGGACACATCCATTGATAGACATCGGCGTTTCCTTCTTCTTCTTCAATGATGAAAGCAGAGTATCAGTTATAGTTTCAGACCAATTGTATTTTCTATATACCTCCAAATTTTCAATATATTGGACCAACCCTCAGCTCATTGTGTTTCCTGTTACTGGGAAAAAAATTGTTGCCAACAGATACATATATAATAATCTAGCCAAGTCATCATAACCAGCCTCACTGTCCAATTCAGACACTTGTTTCTTATCAATGTTGTTGTCAACCTCCGATTCTTTTTAAACCAGCATTCAGTAAAGGGTGTAAACGATTTTTCATGTATTGTACAATCAATCTTTTCACACCTATCATGTATCCCAAATATTAGAGTCACATCACTAGGCCGCAACCTCAGTTTTTTGCTTCCGATTTTGAATCTTGAAGTATCTGAATTGAAACATAATAGTATTTCAAAAATGTATTTGTCACTTTTACGGCACCAGTGATGTATAATTCACTTTGATTGTCATTTATATCAACATTTGTCTTTGTTGCTTGTGACTCCTGATATGGAATTTCTTTGATACACCTTATAGCAGGTCTTTTTTTTTAAGCTTGTTTCTTCGCCATGACCTCTTTAATGCATCAACTATAATAGAGTATCAAACATTAACATATGATGTATCTATATTCACCTAACCATTAGTCCACACATTGGTAACTGTTTAATTCATCAGAGTGGGATTCATTCAAATTTTTAATGAGCATTATAACTCAACTGCACATAGTAACTAATTTCAGGGACACAATTAGTAGTTAAAAACAGAGCTTGTTACAACCCTAAGAACTTTCAAATACAAAGAGCTTAAGTTCGCCACAAAAAGCATTTGACACTGTTTACGGATCATTTGACATTGTTTACTAAGCTTTTTTCATAGAATCAGGAACTGTTACTGCAGTGAAAAGATCAAAGCATTCTCATGAAAGTAAAATTGAATGCTTAGATGAATTGTCCACTATTGCTTGTTTGAGGCACAAACAATTATTTCAGCTCCAATGTTGGTGTGTTGAGAAAGGTGAATTGCTACTTGTGTATGAGTTTATGTCCAATGGGAGTCTTGATAAGATACTATACCCAAAATTTGAATTGGGTAACCCATTGAAATGACCGTACAAATACTACATTGCAATTGGTTTGGTCTCTGTTCTGACTTACCTCTATTAAGAATGTGAACAACAATTAATCCACAGAGACAAAAAGACTGTTAATATTATGCTTGATTCAATAACAGATACTCAAGACAGTTACAACACAAATAAGATACAAATTTTCAACAGTTAATCAAAATACAGTTACCGATAACAGATATAAAAATTGAATCCTTAAAATCAGAAAAATAGTTACGCAACACATTTAAACCTATTAAATTTTGAATATGAACTGATTTATAATCTGAATCCCAAATAGATATTTAAAATAGTTACATAACTATTTTTAATTAAAAAAAACATGAACCATAACGTTACTAATAACAGACTTGTAAGGATTGAATCCTTAAAATGAGAAAAATGGTTTCGCAACACAGTTAAACCCATTAAATTTTGAATATGAACTGATTTATAATTTGAATCCCAAATAGATATTTAAAATAGTTAAGTAACAATTTTTAATAAAAAAAACATGAACCATAAAGTTACCAATACCAGACTTATAAAAATTGAATCCTTAAAATGAGAAAAATAGTTTCGCAACACATGTAACCCCATTAAATTTTGAATATGAATTGTCTATATTTGAATCTCAAATAGTTACGTAATTATTTTTAATCAAAAAAATCATGAACCATAAAGTTGCCAATAACAGACTTACAATAATTAAATCCTTAAAATCAGAATAATAGTTACGCAACACAGTTAAACCCATTAAATTTTGAATATGAACTGTCTATATTTAAATCATCAATAGTTACTTAAAACAGTTACGTTACTATTTTTAAACAAAAAAATCATATTCCAAAGTGTTTTTTTTATATACATATTCTATAAAAGAAATGTAAATTCTTAATATAATTTCACGAAATTAGGGTTTTACGATTTAGTTTTCTTTTTGAATCAACTTACACTAGTTTATGAAAAAAAAAAAAAAACTAAAATAATCAACGAATGAAAAAAAAAATAGAATATCACCTCAAATTACCGGTAAAGAAGTTGTCGGAGACGCTGAACAGGTTTTGCACGCTGTTGGCGACGATGAACAGTCGGATTCAAAACTATCGTAGTACTCTTTTTTTGCGGAATATTCAATGGTTAATCACATATAAACAGTTATGTCATTCTATGGATATCCTATTGTCATAGTATCAGGATGCCAAAGAATAAGGGTTTTTATAATTAAATCCCCTTTTTTTTACATTCGATTAATTGATTGTAGCCATAATATACGGAGGAATACAAATGGGTTCTACGTTTCTGTTGTTTACCAAATGGCGATACGGGTATTTTTAAAAAATATGCACTTTACCCCCAAATAAGTTTTTGAGTTGTGCTTTGTCCAAATTGATGATACACAAAATGACTTTGTACACCACTTATTAAGTGTAAATAATAAATACAGTAATTAAAGTAAGGAGATGGAGAGACACAAACAGTTTATAGTGGTTCAGTCAACTCGATCTACGTCTACTCTTGAATGACTCTGGTCGCCGGGTACTTTATTAACTCAAGGGTGTGGGGAGCAGATAGTACAAGCTTTGAGAGAGAGGAGAGAGTCGTGCTCAGGTAAAGTATGATGCCCCCAAGTGTTGGTGGGGTGTGCAATTTATAGTGATCCCCCTAACAGGTTGAGGCTATTTTACAGCAACTAAACAACCATTTCGGTGGAGCTCACGACTTCTTCTCAACGAGCGAGGTGGTTGAGGTGCTCTCCATGAAATGCGGCCAAGGATAAGGTGAGGGTGAACTGTTTCTTTGGTGGTGCAGGTGAGGCTCCCGTGCTCTCTGTCTCTTGATGACGTAGTCAAACTGATGAGTTTGACTGGACTTGAACAATATTGAGCTTGATGAGTCTTTATAAGATTGGGCTCTTCAATTGAGACTTGGGCTTTCCAAATAAATTGGATTTTTCTTGGGCTTGACCCATCACAAATAAATCTAAAAAATTGTACCAACTTTTATATATCCCCTCAAATAATACCTTATTACCTGTGTCGGTCGAAGGAAACTGACTCAAAGCCGTATGATGCCTGGATTGGAAGGTACTATGGGCCTTGGGCCCATCATATTTTGAGTAAATTATATAAATGCCCCAGGAATTAGCATCTCCTTTTAAATTGCACCTTAACATAGTTAACACCATCGTTATAAAATAGAAATGATTTTTTTTTCTACAATAATGGACTTTCATTTGTAAATGACAGTTCTTATTACTATTGACTTTCAAAAATAGTTGTTATATCTCGGTAATGGGGTCTGTTGATTCAAAACCATGCTCTCAGCATCTTTTTTTTATATTTTATCTTCTTTTTTTTGTGATTTATAATATGTTTTTTAATGTGAAAATCGTGTTTACAAAACCATCTTTTTCAGAAAAAATTTAAAGAGTATTTTACAAATACGCTTTTATATCTAAAAATATATTATGTAATAATGTTAAATTAAGAAATAAATTAAAAATCATGTTAAAATAAGATAAAGTTGGAAATGGACCGTAATTTACTCAAAAACTCCATTGTTGTTAGACTATGGTCAAGTCACCCCCACTTAGCCCATCAAGAAAAAATTTGGGCCAAGACCATTAAATGGTACTATGGATGAAGCCCATCCCAGCATAGTTTGGTAGGCTTGGAATTGGGCCTAGGCCTTATTAAATCTCCTTGAAAAGCATATTGAATGCAATACTATGTCTCCGTGATGAAATGATATTACCTATCAATAATAAAATTCCAAATGAAAAAAGTGAACCCCACTTGAACTTATATGACAGGAGGGTGGGAAGTTATTTACTTACATGACAGGTTAGTTATTGATTTTTGTGGGGTCCATGTACTTATTTGTTTTACTATTATTAATTGGTGATATCATGTTACCTTGCTGTGTGATATCACCGTTGTAATGAATATTTTCTCCCACATCTGAATGTCTAGGGATGCTGGCCAAAAAAAAAAAAAAATGTTATAGGGATGTGGTGAATCAGGTCTTGCTTTGAAGGTGTTTGTGAAAATGTCTGACAGAGATGTGTTTTCTTGGACCACGACAATTGATGGGCTTGTTGACGAGCTTGTGCAGACACTGAGGCTGCTGAGAAAAAGAAGCTTGGTTCGAAGGCCAGTGATACTGTGTTAGTGCAACATGGGTTTTGATATAATAGATAATTGAATTTCTTATCGGCTTGTAGGAATGCGAGTTGGGTTAGTGAAGGGTCGGTCTCTCTTCGAAACTTTCAGAAGAAATATATACTTGGACCAACGAGATGGATGCTGTACTTTGTGGAGATGCATCATATGGGCTTACAAAGTTCATGGATCCAAAACTTTCAGAGGTGTTGCTTGAAATTTATGATGAGAAAGAAGAAAGCTTTCCAATTAACTCATCACAGTGACAACATTGCTGTTGCATTTGGACTCATTACAACAGGCCCGGGCCAGAGGCTATCATTAGGAGTGTTTGATCTTCTGAGGACAGCCACTCTTTCATGAAATTAATCCCAAAGATAGCTAATAGTAAGGGATTGTATTCGTTTTCATTATTTCAGGAATGGACAGTGCTCTTGCAGGGATTACAGGTAAAAATAAGATTAGGCTTACAAAATGTCTCCATAAATGGCTTCTGTTTCTGTTTTTCCAAAATCTGTTGAAATCGACTGAAGGATCCCAATTGACAAACAGTTTTCAGATGATTGTCTGTGAGGGGTTCAAATGCTTTGTTTCAGGACTTTCTTGAATGAATTTAATGAATAAATATGCAGTACATGAAACTAATAAAATATAACTTCTTTATTCGTTCAGTTGAAGAGATTTCGATTATAGAAAAAAACTGAATAAATAGTCTTGATTGCAACAGTTACCCATAAGTAACAGTGTACATTAGGCATATTGCATCAGGAAATCTCTCACTGGACAGCATGACTTACTATCTTGAATGTTCAAACTGATCAACATCTATGTTTCATATGAACCTAGTTATTGCATGGTTTGTCCAGATGAACAGCCAGCTCAGGCAAAATGATTTGCCCAATGGTGCGAGGATCGATGATAAAGGAAAACTTTCCTCCTATCCCCCTTTGACTGTGAATCCATGTGCAAGAGCAAAGGTTATCAGATCAATCTTTCTATTGATAATACCATGGTTTAAAGTTGTGAACCTGGTCATCTAATTCCACATCAGTCATGCTGTTGTCAAACGATATTGGGGATGTACACCAAATAATTGATAGAAGAAGTTGGACAAGAGATTTAGGCCAAATTGTGCCACTTTGGTTTTGGGACAATATTGATTGATATGCTATGAGTCAATGATGACAACTCTCGCGACTGGTATCTTTTATTCCCTTGTGGTTTTAAGTTTTCATGTTTACTAGGATTGCACGTATCTTGAATTTATATAATCACGAGTCCAAAAAATACACGGGTCGAATTAACTAATGTTTTTACCCACTTGGTTGTTAACTTGTAGCAATTAGAGGACCGGTTGTCGCGGTTAATTCAGTTATACCAACTAGAAGCTAACAGTAAAAGATATGCATAGGGAAGGTGATATGTAAGTCCTTATGGCATGATTCTGGCAATCAATGTGGGGTTCCCGGAATATATTCTAGGAGATCCGTCAAAAAAGATCGGTATGTCTTGAGATCTCTATGGTGTTCTTTAGAAAAGGAAAGATACCTATTTCATTTATTAAAACTACCATTTGGCACGAGTTCTTTAAGCCTTTATTGGTTTATAAAATATTACTTTGACAACACGGAGAGAAAGAGAGAGAGAGAACTTTACAAAGCAAATTGACGAGACAAAGTGACACTTGTATTAGAATATGACATGTGAACATGAACAGTGCTTCGTCGAGTGCTGCACCGAGGGGATGATAAGTCATGAGACACAGATCCGAGGGGACAAGCCCTTTAGGCCAAGGGGGAGTATGTGATCCCGGAACCAAGCAATCAATGTTGTAGGGGAATGTGGGCCCATGATGCAATGTATTGTAGGGAATGATTACTTGTATAGATACATCGCATTGAATTACATATAAAATATCAAAAAATTCAGATAAAAATATGACTCTTATTAACGTGAATTGCTCGGGGGTGTTTATATTTAATGTTTGGCGCCAAGTCAATTAATGCCCTATAGAGATTATTAAATAATGAGGGGACATGTACTAAATGCTCGGTCTCAACAAGATAATCATCACAAGCGAGCCACCAACCTTTCCCAAACCTAATAATTTCAAGGCTCGAGAGGAAGGCTCGAGGGGAAGTCACAAATGATTGATTACCCCTACGAGGGCATTGTCAACTGACCTAATGGGACCTCTAGAATATCATGTCATCACATTTGAAAGTATAAATAACTTAATAAATTAGGTATCAGGTACGCAACCAACACCATTCTAACACAGTAAAAGTTTTATTCTTCTTTTGAACACTGACCGACTTATACATTAAAAAAGATAAGTCAAACATGTCTCAAAACCCACTTCAAACCTCATTTCGTATTTACAAAACACTTAATTAGACAGTCTCAAGTTAATGCCACTATCTCAAACTATTGCACAGAAAAACAAATGTACGTGCACAAGCAAAAAGAGTTGCTTGTAGAAGTGTAATTAGCCAAGAACCAGAACCAAAATAAATAACTTCACTTTTCTCGAGCCCCTTTTTCTTTTCTTTGTGTGACTGGGCGAGGTAAATCAAAACATAAAAAGTAGCACTAGCTTCCAACCAAGATCTGTGGAATTAGCGAGAAATCACTTCAAAGGTAATCAATCCCTTTTCGTGAAGTGAAATCACTCTCTCTCTCTCTCTCTCTCTCTCTGTGTGTGTGTGTTAATATTTGAGCAGTTTTACCACAAACTATGAATTTTAATAGTACATATCGTTTATAAGCAACTTGTTTTCTAGTACATTGATGATCTACAAAAGAAAATAATAAAGAAAAAAAAGTACAAGAGGGATTTCCTGATCTCTGCCTTTTGTTCTTTTTTTTTATTGGCAGAGCCAACAAAGTCCAAAATCACTGCATGGGTCAACATCATCAGCATCAAGTCCCCCACTAAATACTACTAGTCACATACCTTCAAAAAAACAGCAGAGGGTCCAGCTTTTCCTTAACCATGTGAACCATTGAATAGCAATAGCTGGCCACATGATCTCACAATCTCATAAAAATAATGCCCCAAGGCCTTCACTATATATAGTTCTCTTTCTTTTTTTTTTTTTTCTGATAGAATAAGGAAAGGAAAAGATAGGACAAGAGATTTCATCACCTTTGTCCCCTATTAATATTTTTTTGATGGGTGTTTGAAGACTACATCACCCATACCTAAATTCCCCTAATTCTTAGCTCCTTTTTAATACATTTTTCACAAGTTCTCGTCATCATATAGTGATGGAGGAGGACAGGAGGCACAAATTATTATTTTGTCACATGCTACCTTGTCAGTAGTTTAGTGGATGAAAAATTAGCGGTTGTAAGTTAAACAACCCGAGCCTGACATTACACCAATGTGAGAATGACCCGATCAAATTAACATGAATAACATATGGATTGTTACTGTCTTTGAGGGAGACGAGGGAATCTAGTCCAGGGGTTTACTACCTAAAAGGTGAATTTAATGTAACTTCAGGGGATAATTCAAGTGATAACAGAGACAAATTATAAATTCAGATATCCTGCGTTTGAATCTTGGCAACTTCACGAGTCCAAGTTTCTAGTCTTGGCGTGAATGACATGCTTTTGACTTTACCAAAAAATGGATTAATTGAAATACGTGTAAACTGATTCAGACACATTTAATCCATTCTCATTCAATCACCGCCGGGGGGAGGAGCAAACCAAAAAAAAAAAAAAAATTCAATTGGGCTTAGGGATAATAAGGCTTTGATGACTTCCACCACCTCAAGATGATATTCTATCACTGAGTTATATCCCTTCCCTGCCCCCATTGAAAAATAAAATTGACTATTTATCGCAATCGACAAAACTTGATAACGGATTTTCTTCTTCCATTTTAGTAAATACTACAGTTTGGACTTGCATAGAAAACGTCTACTTGTCGACCTATACTAATTTTGTATTGAATTCATAGCTTCTTGACGGGTGACGCCTAACATTGAGTTTTACAGCACTAGTTTTACAAAGTTGAAGTTGCTGTTTTAGAAAGCATATTGCTAAGCCACACATCAATGAATGATAAACTCGTAAAAAACTAGGTAAGAATATTCAAAAAAGAATAAGCATCCCAGTTATTTATTTTTTGCTATAAGGTATTCAGATTTGTATCGACTGCTCCCTTGAGCTCTAATATTGGCCACCGTAACCCGAATGAGTTTAGAAAATGTCCCCCGAGGAAAAATGCTCTCTAAGTTTAGGATTGATAATCGAACTGAGCCTTTCAATCTTGTTTTTCTAAATGAGCCTAAATTTTTTTTTAAATTCGACTCATTTAAAAAATGAGTTAAGGTGGAGCTGAGCCTGAGTAACTCAACTATTTTTCATATAAATTAGATGAGTCGAACTTTCTGAGCTCGAACCAAACTTTTTTATGCTCCTTTTCTAAACAAATCTGAAAAAAAAAAATTTAAACTCGAGTCGTTTAAAACACAAACTAAACTTGAGTTGAATTCTATTCGAACCGAGCCCGAATAACTCGGCTAAAAATTATGAGCCTTATCTAAATTATCAAATGTGAGGTCCAGACTATGAACCACCCCTAGGGTTCTCTATTATTATATTTCATACTTGTTACCTCCCTCCTATTTATGTAAGGAAAAAGTCTATTACCAAAACATCCAAAAGGTATAGATGAGTTTTGTGGCAGGTATTCTCCATCATACATCTCTCTTTTTTACTTTTGGAATGTTAAACAAAGCTATCCCACGAAATAAACATATATTATCAAATGTCATCGGATCCACAGAGAACATGTTCTTTTATTAAATTTTTGGGGTACAACATATAGAAAAAAAGGTACAAAGATCACATACTAATAGCTTAATATACTCAAAGAATACTTCCAAAAGTTTATGCTCAAAAGCGAAAAATATTCGAAAAATCCGAGGCTGCTGCATTTCCTTATTTCTTTTAACCTATGATATGACATTTTTTTTTTCAGAAAGAATAAAATGCTCTTTCCTCACTCTCCTCACCATTAATTTTTTTTTTTCCCCCTTTTTCTTCTTTTGACATTAAGCATCTTCTTTTACATTATGCACGTCACTAGCTAAATTTCACTTTACCTAACAATCAAGCTGTATGTCATTTACAACTTAAAAGTTCTTCTATGAAACCTAATAGCTTTAGTTTCTCAAAATGGTTTTTATCATCTTACATTTTTCTACAACATTTATCAGGCATGATTGGGATTTTCCATGTGCTAGAATTCCCTTCACCCCTAATCGAGAAAAAAAAAACATTTTTTTTTGGGAAAGTCGAGAAAAAAATATTATAGCCGATGAACAAATTTTTTGCTTATAACGAGATTTGAAAAAAGTAAAGAGTAAATAGTCGCACCTCTATTTTGAAGAGAATAATTTCCAAGAAAAAATAATCTTGACCAAAAGGTTGGTTTGGTATATAATGAAAAACATGGGCGTTTAAAAAGAGAAAATGATAGGTAAAACATGTTCATTGTCAAAAAAATGTGCTTTTTTTAAAAAAAATAAAAAAATTGTGATGGTAGTGCTATAAATCATAAAAGTTTATGGGTGGGCCTATTCTCACTCCATAAATCTCAGTTCTCTTCCCATTAAATTATAAATCATAAAACTACTAAGTTTATACCTTTTATATTGACCACAATAGTAATTAAATTCGCTTCATTCTATACCCACCCCATTAATAACACAATTTATCTCAATTTTCACTTTTAGGATTTTTTTCTATACTTATCTCACATAGTCTGTACACAAAATATATTCAACATGGATTCCATTTTAGGTTTCTTTCATGCAAATCATTTCAACTGTTGTCATCCGATCTCTATCTTATTCGATCTCATCACCAGAATAGAATTCCGATTCTATTATGTACCTATCTTTTTTTTTGCTTTTTTAATCACTGATTGAAGGAATTCCTAGAAAAAAAGATCTTCTTCATATACAATTTCTCAATATATAGAAAAAAAATATCTTAGAATCTTTGTTATAGATCGTATCTGAAGCTAAATTTCTTCAAAAGGTAAAGAAAAACATCATCAAGTCTATTTCCTCTAATCACACAGTCAATATATAATTGTTTGTTCAATTTTAGTAGAAAATCCAGTTGAGTATATTTTGTATAGATCGTGTGAGATGGAGTAAATAAACTTTTTATAATAACACTTTACCACAACAAATTTTTTTCTTTTTCGTAGTGGATTAGTTTTATTTATAGCCCACCAAAGTTTATCCACCAACAATGGGTAAAAAAAACTACTACCATAGTATTTTTTTGTCGTTGCAGGAGGAAAAACATCTCAAACCCTCTTCTTTTGCCTACATGGTCTTAACAATGTTTGATTGCGGGACATTTTTGTAATTTTAAATGATGGCTAATAATTGAGTTGATTGACTTGGTTAAATGGTATTTTAGAAAAAAAAAAAAGGTTGGAAAAAATAAGTGTCATGTAGGGTTACGGAACTATGAATGGAACCATTAGATTCTGACCAAGACATGATAGCATTTGTCTCTTTGTAATGTTTGTGTTTTCGACGGAAGAGAAACGAGGCATCAATGGGCAATCTAAGAGATTCTACAATTATTTTGTGTTGTTTGTTTTCTTTAATATGGGGGGTGGTACTAAAGTTATCCAATACAAAAACATGGTGTGTATTTCTCTTTGGATAAGTGTTGTAACAGTTAAAAGAGACTTTTTTTAATCAAGTGATAATTGAGACGAATTGTAAATCAAGACGTTATTGGTTCAAATCTTGACAACCCTTTAGAGTCAGACCGTGAAAAATTTATCTTTCACGCATGCCTTAATCCCAATGTAAATAACCTGTCTTTAATCAGATCAAAGAAGAAATTAGTCAAAGTGTGAGTAAGTACTTGACCCGAATACTCTTGACCGTTGAACAATTTTTTTTTCTAAGTACTTGACCCGAATACTCTTGACCATTGAAATATTTTTTTTCTTTGTGTATGACAACAAAAAATAATTTTTAGTTGTGAATTTTGGTTTGAGTAAGTTTCGGTAATACACCGTAAAATAATTCTTTGTGGTAAGTTTTCATTTGATTTATTTGTAACTACTTATATCACACTTTCGTGATAGCATTTGTCACTTTGTAATGTTTGTTTTTTTAACAAAAGAAAAATGAAACATCAATGGACAATCTAGCAAAGATCCTACACTTACATTGTCTTCCTTTGTTATCTTTACCCGAGACGGAGGCACAAAAGTTAATGGGAGCAAAAGAAAACTATGGCATGTATAGGTGTTTTGGGTAAGACTACAGCACCTAAAATAACTTTTTTCAAAAGATCATATCGAAAAATAATTTTTAACCATTGATTTTTATTCCAAGACTTCGTAACTTCTTATTTCAAAACAATAATATAAGATGAAATAATAAACAAAAAAATCTTCATGCGTGTCATACTCTCATTGCACTACAAGAATTAGAATTTTTTGAGACAAATTTTTTATGGCAATAATATCCACTATCACAAAAAACATGTTTTGGAGAAAAAAAAGTTTTTTTTGTGACTATAATACTGTCATAAAAAATTTATTTGTTGTCACAAATTCATTTGTACTGATTGCTACCATCATAAAGACTTTTTGAAACTCCACTTATTATAACGAGGTATGCCGTTACAACACTTTGCCATAATAAATAGAGTCTCCAAAATTCTTTGTGGAGGGTAACAACCTGTCTTAAATAGTATTTGCGACAGAAAATAAATTTTTTATGACAATATTACCACCACAAAAAAAAAATCTCCAATTTTTTTTTTTTTTGTGACTATGAACATTGTTGCCACAAAAAATAGAAGGGGCGGGACTAGAAAATGGTACAATAATTATACCATTTCTCTGTATATAAGATCAAGTTGCACTTTTTTTTTGACATGAAAGTCAAAAGGGCTCACTTTCTTTTCCCTACTATTAGGGTTACTTAATTGGTCTTGTTTGTTGATCTGCATGTACTTTACCTTCAATTGTTGGGTGTCATGAAAAGTGAAAGTTGTTTCATTAGATCATCTTGGAGCTAACTGGCTTCCCTATTGATATGAAATGGGAGCCATAGCACCCATGAAATAAGCAAAGCATTGATATCAATCCATGTATACATTCACCTTTTAAAAATTCATTTATAAGAAAAAGACGTGGAAAAATTTATCCATACGTACGTTCAAATTCAGACTTCACTCGTATGGAACACTACGCTTTGTAATACACCATCACAATTTCTCAACCACACTCCATTGGAGATGTTACCCAAAAAGAAAACTCATGCAAAGTTTGATGTAATTCATGATTGATTATATAGAATTGTAACTTACAACCTAAAAATTTTCAACTTGAAATTAAAAATTATGATTTTTGGTACGATATTTATTTTAATGTCGTTTTCCCACAAACTATGACACCAAATGACATTAACTCCATACTTAATTTGAAAATACCTCATAATTTGAAAATAAAATATTATGTTATATGCGTAGACAAGTATGTATTTGAACCATTACTTTTATGATATTTTCGTGCAATTTAACTTAAAGGGTAACAGAGATGAACTAATTCAGACGTTCTGAGTTCGAAACTTGACAATCGCACGAATAATTTATCCCTCATAAATACCATAGTTCCAAGATAAATAACCCGTATATAGACAGCCATCATAGAACATGAATAGTTAGAGGCATAGAGCAGATAATTTTAGTGAAAGCTAATATTATTATTACACAACCAAACAGACAAAATACATGAAAGAGTTCTTGAAAATGTATACTTATATCAAAAACCCCATTTCCAAAGAACCCAATTACCAATATCAATCCAAGCTTCATTTTACTTAACTATCCCTTAAAGCCCTTCATTCTGATTATGTCTTATTCTCTCTCTAGAATCCATGAAGCCATTGGAGATCAATCAATACTGCAACGTTTCAGCAGAAGCCATGATAGGCTGATTAGCATAGAGATAATTCCATGAACTGTTCATGAACCCATCTGTAGCTTGATCATTGAAACTGTAAATCCCATGATCAGAGCCAAAACCACCATTGTTAACATTCAAGAAACTGATGATCTCATTGAGAGATTGCAATCTGTGGCTGAGCTCAGCCACTTGAACATTCAGAATTGAATTCTCAGCCTCAACGTTGAGGTAATGTTGGGTGGTGACATTGATTCTTGCAATGATCCGGCTGTTCTCTTCCCTGAGCTGAGCCATTTGGGCCACTAGTTCATCCAAGTGCTTCTGCTTCCTCATCCGAGACCTCCTGGCTGATTCGCGATTCGATATCATCCTCTTCCTCTTCCTCTGAGCCATCAATTGCTGAAGATCTTCTTCAGAACCCGAGTTCTGATTCACAGGTGACCCTGATGATGTTCCACTAGAGGAAGCCATGAGACTTCACAAATATAAAATCTGCAGTGACAGAGGCTAGTGTTTTTTTTTTGTTTTTTGAGAGAGAGGTGTTAAGTAACAGGACCCAGATAGTTATTAGCTTAGATTAATTTCGATATACAAAGCTATATAGATATATATTATATATGAGGCTAACTATTGAGTTAAAATTATGAGATATAATAGAACCAGTAGAGGAAGACAACTGAGAATGATTGAACTAAATGAGTCCTGCGCCTATATGTGGAATTTATCATAAACCCATAAAGGAAAAGTTCACTGAGAATTGCAGACATGAATTTCGAAGATTAAAAACAAGAGATTGAGCATTAAGCTTAAGTTAAAGAGACCAGATAATTCCTGAGACAGAGAGAGATTGGTGTTTGGAAACCCCAAACCAGATCAGAAATTTGAAATTTTGTCGGAAAAAAGTTCAGGAAACTGGGATATTTGCAGGAAAACTGACTAGGTGTAGAATCCAGAAAAAAAAACCCCAAAACCCAGATCAGCAAAGTTGATTTTCTAGGAAAAAGTTTCCAGGGAACTGGGATTTTTCCAGGAAAATTGAATAGGTTTTTGGTGTTAAATCCAAAAAACCGATCTTGGACAGAGATTCAGATCCACCCAGAAATAAATGATGACAAAATCCGCCAAAGAAGGAAGTAGGCACTGGATTTTAATCCAAAAGGAGACTATTTATGTCAGAATCAAAAGGGTGGATGAGAGAGAAACTGAGGATGGATTCAGTTCATTGGCAAGAGCCTCAGAAGCAGAAAATTTGATAAACCAGAATAAGGCGGAAGATTTCTTAAAGAGAGTGGAAGAGAAGGGGGAAGAAGCTTGTATTGGAGGTGGAATTTATAGAAGAAAAGTGTAGAACTACTAGGTAGAAAAATATTGAAAATATGTGAGGAAAAAGAGAAAAACACTAAGAAATTAAAGCCAAAAAAAGGACTTTGAGAAAAAGCGGGTGTGGGGGGAAAGATGATGGGACAATGTGGGGTGGGGGTGGCGGGGGTTTGTTTTGCAGAAACCTCCACAATGGTCCAGATCCAGCTGGGAAGCAACACCAGAAAGTTATTACAGAGAGAGATTGCATCGTAAGAGCATCTCTAATAATAATATTTAAAATAGGTATGCAAAATATATTAAAATATTATATTATTTATTTTAATTAATTTTTTTAAAAAATTTATTCTAACAACGCTATCGATTTTAACTAACCACTTTAATTAACTTTCAATTATAAAATTTAAAAAATAGCAATTCAATTATACATTGTATAAATTTAATTAATTATAGGCTACAATAGAGAACCCACCTCTCTAAAATTATTACTCTCAAACCAAATTCTCTCAAATTAAATCACAAAATTCAAAACAAAATCACCTCAAAACTTTCGAGTTTAATCAAACTACATGCTATTGTCTCTTCATCAATCGCTTCATCCAAATACTAGACCAACAACTTTTGAAGTAGAGAGAGAGAAATGGCTAATTAGATGTAGCTAGTAAAAATGGAGTTATGAAAAATGGATAGGGGAATAGCTAGTCTGTTGGAGACACATTTTAAGTAAAAACTATCTAAAATAGCTAAAAAGAGGATTTTAACTAGCCTATTGGAGTTGCTCTAAGTAGACTATGCAAGTAAAAAGGTCATCTGGGCCACGTAAAAGAACTAAGGTCGTGTTTGGTTTACGTTTGTAAAACAGTTTTTTGTTCTCAAAATTTTAAAAACACCCAAAACCTGTTAATTTAGCATTTTTGTTATCTAAATTTTAGAAAAAAAATGAGATTTGAGTCAAAGAAACAGAAAACAAAGTTTAGCTTATTTTCAAAGTTTTCTTTGAAAATTTTGGAAATAAGGAGAACAATTTTCGATGTTCAAATATGAGTATATATATATATATATAATATTATATTATATTTATATAATATACTTATATATAATAAAGTAAAGCTGAGTTTGAATTTTAGAGACAAAGAGAGGTCCAGATCGTTTAGAGACAAAACATAAACACATTCAACGAACAACGTAATCTCAAAATAAAAGACGGTTCAGATCATCTCATAAATATTGATCCAATGATCATAATTGGACTTAACTCTAACACTCTTATCTCTCATATTACTCTCTCTGTCTCTCTTATCTCTTAAACGTTTCAAACACACTATCTCACCAAAACCAAGTCATTGCCCGTACCTGAAGGCACTATATTACTTATAAAATTTCAACACACAACGATAGAATATTTGAATAATTTCAATACACAGCGATTAGATTAATTTTGAACATTTTTTATTGGTGCAATTGATATCTTATTTTTTTTGTATTGGTCACCTATTTTTTTTTAATTGCTGATTAGCTTGGACTTTGAATTTTTTTTTTCTGAGAACTATAGATTTTTATATAGTAATGATTTATTTTTAGTATGAATAATAAATTGATGATTTTATTTATGGATTACAAAAATAATTTAAATTTTATTAATTGATAAGAAGTAAGAAGGAAACATCAACTACCGTTACTAAGATGCATGATAAGAAGATCTACTTACAGTGTATTCTAGGTGTAAATCAGTTTGTAATAAGAATGATAAAAAATTATATAATAAGTATATAATGATTTTTAATGAAATATTATATCAAAGGTTTTAAAAAAATTGATAAACTAGATAACTTACATGTCAAAAAATGGTGACATTGTCCATTTGGGTATTAATTTTTGTGTTGTAGTGATGGTATGTATGATGTTATTGGGGTCAAACGTAAATTGACAAACCTTGAAAAAAAAAGCATTAAATTTAGAGATATTATATATTTTATGTGTGTTTAATAGAAATATTTTAATTTTATGCAAAATTTTATTGTAAAATTAGAAATTAAACAAAACCAACATAAATCAAGATACTGACAATACACTTTTGACATATAACATTTAACAACAATCAGTTAATAACAATATATCTTCAACTAAACCACGCGAATATTAAAAATTAAAAACAACAAACGATTACCAAAACATAAACTACTAAACCAACACGAAAAAATCATCAATATGTTAAACATTTTCAAATTGCACAATTATAAAAATTAAACATAAAATATTTGATAACTAACCAGTTATAAAAATTAAACAAAAAAAATAATCAACATGAAATAATGAGATGTTTTACCATTAACAAATTTTGTAATAGATATTCTTTTAAATAATCTGGCAATCAACAATATGTTTTGTTCACTTTAAATAAAAATTAAAATTTTGAGAACTATAAGTTTTCATATAATTCTGAGCAAAGTGACGATTAGGTATGAATAATAGTTTGAAGGTTTTACTTATGTATTGGATATTTGTATTTTTTGTTTGTGTGAAAGTGGTGATGACAATTAGATTGATTTTGAATTTTTTTTTTGTGCAATTGATAATACTTGTTATTTTTTATTAGTCACTTATTTTTTTTATTGATGATTAGATTAGACTTTGTTTTTTTTTCTTTTTTGGGAACTACAGATTTTCATATAGTAGTAATTTATTTTTGGTATGAATAATAACTTTATGATTTTATTTATGGATTATATATTTATATTTTTTATTTGTGTGGAAATGGTGATGGTGATTAAATTGGTTTTGAATCTAACTACTTTATTTTATATATATATATATATATATATATATAAAGAGAGAGAGAGAGAGAGAGAGAGAGAGAGATGAGATAGTGTGTTTAAATTGTCTAAGAGATAAGAAAGAGAGAGATATACGAGAGATAAGAATGTTAGAGTTAAGTCCAATTATAATCGTCGGATCATAATTTTTGAGATGATCTGAATCGTCTTTTATGTTGAAGTTACATTATTTGTTGGATGTGTTTATATTTTGTCTCAAAACGATCTGGACCTCTCTTTGTATTTTGGATTCAAACTTCGTTCTATTTTATTATAAATATATATATATAGAGTAAAGTAACTAAATTCAAAACCAATTTAATCGCCATCACCACTTTCACACAAATAAAAAGTATAAATATACAATTCATAAATAAAATCATAAAGTTATTATTCATACCAAAAATAAATCACTACTATATGAAAATCTGTAATTCTCAAGAAAGAAAAAAAAAACAAAGTTCAATCTAATCACTAATAAAAAAAATAAGTAACCAATAAAAAATAACAAGTATTACCAATTGTACAAAAAAAAATTCAAAATCAATCTAATCGTCATCACCACTTTCAACAAACAAAAAATACAAATATCCAATCCATAAGTAAATCTTTCGAACTATTATTCATACCTAATCACCACTTTACTCAGAATTACATGAACACTTATAGTTCTTAAAAATTTATTTTTTATTGAAAGTGAACAAAACATATTGTTGATTGTCATAAATGATTAGTTAAAAGAATATCTATTACAAATTTTGTTAATGGCAAAGCATCTCATTATTTCATGTTGATTATTTTTTTTGTTCAATTTTTATAACTGGGTAGTTATTAAATTTTTTATGTTTAATTTTTATAACTGTGCAGTTAGCAAATGTTTAACATTTACGCATGTTTATGAATATTGAAGATTTTTTTATGTTGGTTTAGTNGATATACGAGAGATAAGAATGTTAGAGTTAAGTCCAATTATAATCGTCGGATCATAATTTTTGAGATGATCTGAATCGTCTTTTATGTTGAAGTTACATTATTTGTTGGATGTGTTTATATTTTGTCTCAAAACGATCTGGACCTCTCTTTGTATTTTGGATTCAAACTTCGTTCTATTTTATTATAAATATATATATATAGAGTAAAGTAACTAAATTCAAAACCAATTTAATCGCCATCACCACTTTCACACAAATAAAAAGTATAAATATACAATTCATAAATAAAATCATAAAGTTATTATTCATACCAAAAATAAATCACTACTATATGAAAATCTGTAATTCTCAAGAAAGAAAAAAAAAACAAAGTTCAATCTAATCACTAATAAAAAAAATAAGTAAC